TAGAAATTTCAGTAAATGTGAAAAGCCTCCTTGCACTCAAGCCACCTGGTGACAGGTATATACTCGTAGTCGTACATATATTTGAATTGGTAATCAATAATATTTGCCCATATCTCAAATGATCCAGGAATGTATTAACACAACAAATACAAATGAAATTAAAATTTGAATACAGACCAGATACATTCTTACAAGATTATAAGTAAATCACAACGGTATCACTATCAGTCTATCAGAAGACCGGGTCATGAAAGAGAACTTTTGCTATGCAAACCCCTTAAAAGAAGACAATTCACAACTTTCCCATAGGGGCAGGGCCGTTAAATTAGTCATGAAATGGACCATCTAATCATTTCTCTATCATTAAATTGACTTATATTATATATCAGGATCCAGGTTTAAACTATAATTAAAACCTAGTGTTTGAGCCCAATAACTTGAGAATTCAAATAAATGGTCATATGAAAAGACAGCGTTAATTAAAACGTTAAATAGCTTATATGGAAGAAACGTCCATTACGATAGTGAAAGTCAAACTTCACAAGCGTTTAAAAGATTAAGCTACTAAGATTAACATGAAAAGGAAAAGTAAGAGCTACTAAATTGAACTTTGCAATCAAACCTACAAAAACTTGAAGCCAATTTTTCTCTAAGGAACCTCAATATCATCCTTAAATTCCACAAAGTTAGACAAAAAAGGCCAATACTTAGCTTAATATTAAGCACATTCCATCTACAAAAGTCCAATCTTTTAACTTCTAACACAGCCTCCATAAATAAATTCAAATCCAGACTCCAGATAAGCAATTAAAAGGTCAAGATCTAGTTCTAACCTCTACCTCGAGAAAAAGTAAACAGGAAAACAAGATAGCAAATAAGGAAATGAAAATCAAATTAACGAACGGGAGTATATGATCACCAAATTAACGTGTCTATTTAGATCAAAAAGGGAAAGAAATGGACAAAAAGCTCACCGACGCCATTCGCGCAGAGCGAACCCTTCCTCTCGCATATCCTCCGGCGGCGGCAAAATCGGTTCGTCCGATGCGAAAATGCCCCCATCATCATCGTCCCCAACATCTTCTTCGTAGGATTTTCCATTTCCATTGGGCTCCAGAACGGCCGATTCGAAGGGAGAAGAGAAGTCCGGGCTAGGCGAAGGCATGCCGAAGCCGTAACCGTGGTCGGCGACGGCGTCGTCTTGGGGTAATGGTTCGGAGGAGGAGAACTCGCTGTAGGCGGCGTAACTGTCGTCGTCGAAGGGTCCACCAGCGGCAGGATCGTCGTGGAGGTGGGTTTGGTCGTCGCCGTCGTGGCGGAAAGAGTCGAAAGACGCCATTTTTGTTTCTTCAAGCTTCTGTCAGCTCCCGTGTATGTCTCTCTCTCTCTAGAGGCGATTTCAGTGTTTGAATTGTGGAGATCGTCGTGTTCGGATCGGAAGGGACAGGTGAGGGATTTTGATGCTCGATTTCCAAAAACTCGTCTCTCTCTGCTGTCTCCTCTTCTCTCTCTAAAAATGAAGGTGACGATGAAAGTTCAACTCGCCACGCGGTAATTAGGGAGTTTGAGATGAAGTAGGGGAAGCACACGGTGGCGTTGTACTTTTCTTTCTTTGAGTAATTTGCATTTGTTGGCCTACAAACTCTAAAAGATGACAACTGTTTGCACATTCTTTTAGATTTTCACAAATAGACCCTCAAAATCTTAAAATATTGATAAGTAAAGCCTTTCATCCATTTTTGCTAATTTTTTTAATGGAATAGGTCACTTGTAAAAACATGTGATCAAATAAATAAGGTTATTTTAGTAAATAGACAATTTTTGTATCAATAAATACTAAAATAAATTAAAAAACATGGAAAGAAAAACAAATCCTCTTAATTAAAAAAATAAGAAAAATAAAACTTTAAAGTTCAAACCCATTCCAAATTGATAGAGAGAAGGTAGGGATGGCAACATGACAAATTTAAGGTTGAGTGGTCTTCTCACTAACCTATTTTCTGAAAAAAAAAAAAAAAACATTATCATTCTCGTCTCATTAACCGATATAAATTAGTGTAGTACAGTGTAGGTTTCTCTACCATAAATTTAGAATACTCGTGATATCTCACTTATCCGTTTTATTATTTTCAATGTAAAATAAATAATTTATTAAGTAATTAATAAATTATACAATAGATTATTTTAAAAATAAAATTAAGATAGTTTTAAATTTTCATATATATTAAGTAATACTAGGTTGAAAGATGTGCCTAATGCGCGTCCTTTTAGGCTTATTTTTTCTTGTTCTTTAATTTGCAATTTGCATGTCATTTTTAAGTTTATTTAAAATTATTAAGTATGATAATGTTTCAATACAACCATATTTTTAAATTATTTCTTTATGAAAATAAATAAATAATTATGCTAATAATTTTATTTTTTTTCATTTATTTATTTGTTTGTTTTTAGTATTGGTTGAGATTCTTCTCCAATCAACAGAGAAGAGTAATTTTTATTTATCCAAAACTCTTTTATGATTATTTCTCGTTTGGCCCGTTGCTTTTAGCGCGTTCGTCGACGGGTGGTTGGACTCCTATAATGCGTTGATTCGTATGGTGGCGAGATTCTTTAGGAGGCGGCGGTTCTATTCTCCGTTGTCCTTCTGAGATGGCTTTACTCAAATCTGGCTTACATTCCACGGCTGATGGCTTACTGTCAGTGGATCTTTCTTTTTTAAGTTATAATAAGGGCGTTGATGTATTTGCTTCTTTGGTATTTTTTTTTGTTTTACTTTGGTGTTTTTGTTTCAGTAATAATGGAGGCGATGTCCTCCGCTTATATCCCCCACCCGTTTGTAAATAGTGTGGCGTATGTTTTCCTGTTAGAGTTCCCTCTATTCTGTGGTGTGATTGTCCCCATTACGTGGAATTTGGTCTCAGTCTACTAGGCTAGTCCATTGACTGTTCTAGTGTTGATTAACGAGCAGTGGTCAAGCTCAAAGTTTATATGCCGAGTGAGTCTTTCTCTATTTGAGTCTCAGTACTTGTATTCAATTCATCCATGTGTTATTTTAATCTTTATTGGTGGATCTAGTCATTGATTTGGAGTCAAATTCATTTGTATTTGGGGCCATTTGTGTTTTGTGTAATTTATTTGTTGTGAAATGAAATTCCCCATTTCAAAAAAAAAAAAAAAAAAAAACTCTTTTTTGGTGGGAAGAATTATAATGAATACAACGGTATAGAAAAAAGTCCAAAAAAAAAAAAAAAGTATTTCTGTTTACTAGATTTCTTTACTTAAGTGGGAAGCATTATTAATGTTCACCTTAACAACATTTTAATACAATAACTCAATAAAATTAAACAAAGAATGGAACTCTAAACAAGAGCAAGAGTGGTATCATAAATCACTACACGTCCTCATTTTGGTAACTAACGCATAGACCTGACCTCTTGTGATATAGCAGGTTCTTTCTCTATGGAAATCCGCCAGTACATTCTCGTCTGTACTTGTAATAATTCCATCAATGATCTGAAATTTTCAGAAGAAAATGGAATAACTCTATATCCTGTTTGAAGCCAGTTGCAGAGAAGTGTAAGTGAAGGATTTTCGGCCCATGAAAATGGAACTTCTTCTAGTTCCAATGACAAGTCAGTTATTCTTTCTGCACAAGATGCTCAACATCTCCCAGCTCCACCTCACTTCCTTGCCATTCGCGGTTATCCTGGAACAACAACTCAATCTGCTCCAATGACTTCCCTTTTGTTTCCGGGACAACGGTGTGGACAAACAAAACCGAAAGAGCAGAAATCGCAGAAAAGATGAAGAATGTCCCACCAACGGAAATCGCCCGGGAAACAGAAAGGAAAGACATGGCAACTATGCCACTGCTCACCCTGTTGCCAACAGCACCAAGTGCCGCTGCTTGAGCCCTCAGCCTTAGAGGGAAGATTTCGGATGTCAAAACCCAGCAGACAGGGCCAATTCCCACAGAGAAAAAAGCTACATTGCCACAAATAGATAAAATAACTAATAGAATCCCAATTTGTCCTTTTCCCAGAAAAGTAAGTGTGAAGCCCAAACTGAATAAACAAAACGTCATTCCAATGGTGCTGATATAGAGCAATGGCTTTCTCCCAAGTCTGTCTATAAGGATGATGGCAACCAATATGAAAACAGTCTTTGTGACTCCCACAGCAACAGTTGCAGCAAGTACCTTTGATTTTCCCTCGATCCCAGCTTCTATAAAGATTTCGGGGCTGTAATACACAGTTGCATCTATTCCTGTTATTTGTTGGAAACACTGAATTCCAAAACCAGTGACCAACATTCGGCGAATTGCAGGAGAAGGCCTCAACAATTCGCGCCATACAGGTTTCTCCTCGTACTTCTCTGCATTGGAAATTCCAGCAGCTAATTGTATTTCAGCCAGTCTTTCCTCCACCTCAGCCTCATTCTCATTGGTTTTCAGTAGCACTGATCTCGCTTCATCAATTCGATTCTGCATGACTAACCACCTGGGAGACTCGGGGATTATAAAAAGAGCAAAACCAATAAAGATCGAGGGTAAAATTCCCACAGCAAGCATTATCCTCCAGTTTATGTGCACTGGAAGGCCAGAAAATGCATAGTTCGAGACATAACCAAGTAAAATGCCTAGATTTATAAAAATCTCTGGAAATGAGGTGAGAGAGCCTCTGGAAACTGTGGGTGATATCTCAGCAATATAGACCGGGGCAATCATGACTCCCAAACCAATTCCAACCCCAGCCAAGAATCTACCAATCATTAGTACTTGGAACGAAGGCGCAACTGTCATTATACCTGCACCTATTTGAAAGACAACAGCGGCGAAGGCCATTGTCCACTTCCTACCAATGACATCAGATGTTTTACCTCCAGCTAAACTACCAAAAAGCGAAACGATGCTCAAAATCCCAACAAGTATTTCTTCCTGTACTTCGGTAATCTTTAAATCCTCCTGGATGAATATGATTGCTCCACTCATCACACCTACATCTGCCAAATGAGAAACAAAAAACCTGAGTTGAAATTTACTTCGGCTGAAAATTTTCCAATAGTAATTGTGGAAAATTTCTAAACAAGATGAGAATGACTATCTATGTTTCTCTCCCTAACTGATAGATAGCAAACTGCATTAAATTAATGCAGCAACCTTTCTAAGAACTTGGTTATCACCTGAAGATGCCATATAAAGAGCATGGCTATAGCAGAAGAAGAAAAGAGTTCCATAATGTTACTATTCTTTGAACCGGGGAATCTGTTACTGATCATTCCACAGAATACCAGAAAATTGAATAGCTCCTTGAAATACATCTAACATTGCTATTGCTAATAAAACTCCTTAACAAAAAAACATATAAAACAATAACAATGAACTTGCAAGCAATATGATAAAGAATTGGATTGGCTCTCACACAATTCAAACTTCACGTATTAATAATATCATAAAAAGCACAAAGTAATGACAATATTTTATATCCTCTCAGAAATATAAGAAAGGCAGAAATTTTTTCTCATATCAGTCAATTATGGAAAGCAGATTGCAAAGAGAACATATATAAAAACAAACATAATCTGCTTTGTCAAAATAAAAAAAGAGACAAAAACAAATTGCAAAAAGAGAAAACAACCGGGAAAGCCAATAAATCAAGGAAAAACAAAAACATTTATGCGTACCATAGCCAAGGAGAACATTGTTGAGAGAAGCAAAAACGGCACAGGCAAGGACATATTTCCTGGTACTGCTTCCCCTATCTTCTGTCTTATGGTGATGTTGTGAAAGGTCAAAATCGTGATCATCTGTGAGCTCAGAATCCATTCTCTTGTATTTGTTCTTAGTCCCCAACGAAATACCAGACATACCCATCTCTCCATTCCCAGTTTCTTGGACATCCATCAATCCCATCTCAAATATTATCTATCCCGAACTGCCAGTTTTCGATCCAAAAACAGGGAAACGAAGCAGACCCAGAACTTGTTTTGAAGAGTTTTGACTTTTAAGAGCTTCAGACTGAGTCCACAAATTGGGCTCTTAGATCTGAACAATGAGGGAGAAATAACTCCGCAAGTGGGACTTTTTATTTATTTATTTATTTTTTTCCAAGCAAACGAGGAAGACCCACTTGACATATTTTACCTGTTGAAAGCTTTAACATCGCGTGTGGAGCCATGGCCTTGACTTCCCAACTTTCTCTTTTCGTTAAGGAAACTTTTTTTTTTTTTTTTTTTTTAATTCAAGAGAGCTTATTAGAAAAGACGGAGATGTTTCATAAAATTAAAATTATTTTTTATTTATATATATTTTTATAAGAAAAAATATTATAGTGAATTATAAATTATAATTCAAATTATGATATAAATCTCCTCTATTTTTAACGGTTAGATTTATATAGAAAAACTGTTTATCTTATATATTTTTTAATTTAATATTATTTTAATTAAATTTAATGATTATAAATTGAGGTAAAGTCTTCAGTCTGGTATTTACTGTTTGCCGGATTGAAGCGGTAGTTGTATAATTCTGTTTAAATTGTGTATATTTATATATAAAGTCGTGTATATTTACATATAAAGTCGTGTATATTTATATATAAAGTCGTGTATAAAATTATAAGAAACGACAATGTATATTAATCTTCAAAACATGTATTTTTTATAGTAATTAGTGAACACATAACATGAAAATATGTATATTGACTGATTTATTGTATTTCATGTTAAATATACGCGACTTTACATATAAATGTACACAATTTATGTAAAATTATATAACTGCCCTTCTGATAAAGTACTTTAGTGTCTGAGGGTGTAGAGCTACATTCCTCATTATCGTGTTTCAGTTTCCCTCAGGGTATAGAGTCGGTATGTTGCGTTCTGGAGATGAAGTTGCAAGAAGTACAGAGTCGATGTTCCAGAGACAATTCCTATAAATTGATATTACTATAAAACTGTGCTATTAAAAAAATTCCTTAATTCAAATAGTTCTTTTGAGGTAACATCTGTCACATGTAAAGTTCTGAGGTCTCTGTAAATACTCTCTGAAAGATAAGGGAAATATTTGTAATTTTGAATAGTCAATGGACTAAGTGGATGTTTAGTTCATAAATTTAAAATTATTTTTATTTTATGCGTATTTTTTATGAGAAAAAAAATATATAAAAAATTATAAATTATGATTTAAAATTAAGGTCGAATGAGAAAACAAACATACCACAATAATTTTGTTTTGCTTTCATTTTCTGACTCTTCCTTCCAAATTTGTGTTTGTTAATGTCCAAGCAAAGAGGGGTATGTTCGAGATTTTTTTTTTCCTAAACAGTTGTGTCTGATATTAGAGTTGTTAGTTGGTGTACTCAGGTCTGCGTTGTTTTCTGAGTAAGGGTAGTAAGGGTGTAAATTTATTTGGATTATTTCTTGGGTTCTTCTACCTCTACATAGGAACTCGTACGGACAGTGAGGATTTTTAATCGGTAGATCTTATTAAAAATATATAAAAGACAAAAAAATTACAAAATAGGCAGTTTTTCAGGACAAAAAGAAAAAAAAAGGACTTCTTCATGACAAGAATAAAAAAAAAAGGTTCAAAAAAGACTAAAATAAAAAAATAAATCACAATTAGAACCGAAATGAAAAAGATAAAATTTCAAGGTAAAAATAAAAAGGGTTAAAATAAAGAAATAAATAAGTTTTACAGTAAAAAGAATTAAAAAGAAAAGTAAAATAAAATTTTAGGAAAAATAAAAAAGAAAAAAAAAGACTAAAATGAAAAAATAAATAAATTTTAAGATAAAAAACAGAGAAAAGTTAAAAGAAAAAAAAATGAAATTTCAAGATAAAAATAAAAAAAGGTCAAAAAGGACCAATAAAAAATAAATGAGTTTTATAGTAAAAAGAAGCAAAAAAAAAATAAAATGAAGAAATCAATAAATTTTAATTAAAAATAAAGAAAATGAAAAATAAAATAAAATAAAATTTTAGGATAAAGATTAAAACAAGAGTAAAAGGGACTAAACTAAAGAAAATAAATAAATTAAGAGTTAGAAAACAAAAAGAATAGAAAAAAGGGCTTGAAAAAAACAAAGAGAGGGAGGTCACTTTTTCCCCCAATTTGGTCGTATTGGTCCAAAAAGTATATAATTAAAAGTTTTTATAAAAAATTATATTTAATTTTTTTTATACAGTAAAAAATTTGAGTTAAAAAATTTAAATCCTAAATTAAACTAAGCGTAACATAGAGATGATACTAAATTGAAATTATCCAAAACGTGGCCGTATTGGTCCAAAAAGTATATAAAAACATTAGGGTAAATTTGGGATTTCCTCGAACCGCCATAACAAACAATTCACTCTCTATCTCTCCGTCTGTATCTGGCTTCGCGTCTTCTCCCAATTTCTCTAACCTCACTGCCATGTTGTTCATCACATCCCTGAACCAGAAAACCCTAGCCTTAAACCTAAACCCCAGCACCACCACTCTCCATGGCCTCAAGCTCGCAATCCATGAAATCTCCGGCACACCAATTCCCCTCCAACGTCTCTTCCTCTCCCAAAGCCTCCAATTGTACTCGATCACCGACTCCACTCTCCTCTCCGACATCGGAGTCCGTGCCAATTCAACCCTAACCCTCCACATCCCCTTCCATGGCGGAACCCAACCTCCCGCCATCCCCAAACCCCGCCTCGAATTCCTCAACTCGAAACCTCCGGCCAACTATGTCGCCGGACTCGGCCGTGGTGCCACCGGGTTCACTACCCGGTCCGATATCGGTCCCGCGAGGGCCGCTCCTGATCTCCCTGATCGCTCCGCCACTACCATCGGTGGCGCTGCTGGAGCTCCAGCCGTCGGTCGAGGCAGGGGAAAGCCTGGCGATGAAGAGGAGGAGGAAGAGGGCGACGACAAGGGTTACGACGAGAATCAGAAATTCGATGAGTTCGAAGGGAACGACGTCGGATTGTTCGCGTCAGCGGAGTATGATGAGGACGATAAGGAGGCCGATGCAGTCTGGGAAGCGATTGACATGAGAATGGATTCGAGGAGGAAGGATCGGAGAGAGGCCAGATTGAAGCAAGAGATTGAGAAGTACAGAGCGTCGAATCCGAAGATTACCGAGCAATTTGCGGATTTGAAGAGGAAATTGCACACTTTGTCTACTCAAGAGTGGGATAGTATACCCGAAATTGGGGATTACTCGTTGAGGAATAAGAGAAAGAGGTTTGAGAGCTTTGTGCCTGTTCCAGACACGCTTCTCGAGAAGGCGAGGAAAGAAAAGGAACATGTCACCGCGTTAGACCCGAAGAGTAGGGCTGCTGGTGGGACGGAGACGCCGTGGGGCCAGACTCCGGTTACGGATTTGACGGCCGTTGGCGAGGGAAGAGGTACTGTTCTGTCTTTGAAATTAGATAGGCTTTCGGATTCTGTATCTGGGTTGACTGTTGTAGATCCCAAGGGGTACCTTACTGATCTTAAGAGCATGAAAATTACTAGTGACGCTGAGATTTCTGATATAAAGAAGGCGAGGTTATTGCTAAAAAGTGTAACTCAGACGAATCCAAAGCATCCTCCGGGGTGGATTGCTGCGGCAAGGTTGGAGGAAGTGGCTGGAAAAATTCAGGCTGCGAGACAGTTGATTAAAAGGGGGTGTGAGGAGTGCCCCAAGAATGAGGATGTGTGGTTGGAGGCTTGTAGGCTTTCGAGCCCGGATGAGGCGAAAGCTGTGATTGCTAGGGGAGTGAAGTCCATACCAAATTCGGTGAAGTTGTGGATGCAAGCGGCGAAATTGGAGCATGATGATTTGAATAAGAGCAGGGTTTTGAGGAAAGGTTTGGAACACATTCCCGATTCCGTTAGGCTGTGGAAGGCGGTTGTGGAGCTCGCTAATGAGGACGACGCTAGGCGTTTGCTTCATAGGGCGGTAGAATGTTGCCCTTTGCATGTTGAGTTGTGGCTTGCGCTTGCGAGGTTGGAGACCTACGACAGTGCTAAGAAGGTCCTTAATAGGGCGAGAGAGAAGCTGGCTAAGGAGCCTGCTATTTGGATCACTGCTGCGAAATTGGAAGAAGCTAATGGGAATACTTCCATGGTTGGGAAGATAATTGAAAGAGGTATAAGGGCTTTGCAAAGAGAAGGGCTGGAGATTGATAGAGAAGCCTGGATGAAGGAGGCTGAGGCTGCTGAACGTGCAGGGTCCGTTGCCACTTGCCAAGCTATCATTCATAATACAATTGGGATTGGCGTGGAGGATGAAGATAGGAAGAGAACATGGGTTGCTGATGCTGAGGAGTGCAAGAAAAGGGGATCTATTGAGACTGCCAGAGCTATCTACGCTCATGCACTCACTGTGTTCTTGACCAAGAAGAGCATATGGCTCAAAGCAGCACAGCTTGAGAAGAGCCATGGGACCAGGGAATCTCTTGATGCTCTGCTTCGTAGGGCTGTAACCTATCGACCGCAGGCTGAAGTTTTATGGCTTATGGGTGCAAAGGAAAAGTGGCTTGCTGGGGATGTGCCTGCAGCTCGTGCAATCCTCCAAGAAGCTTATGCTGCAATTCCCAATTCTGAGGAAATTTGGCTTGCTGCATTTAAGCTTGAGTTTGAGAACCACGAGCCAGAGAGAGCTAGGATGCTTCTTGCTAAAGCCCGAGAAAGGGGAGGCACAGAGAGAGTCTGGATGAAATCAGCCATTGTTGAGAGAGAATTGGGTAATGTGGATGAGGAAAGAAGGTTGCTCGATGAAGGGCTCAAAAAATTTCCTTCATTCTTTAAGCTGTGGCTGATGCTTGGTCAGCTAGAGGAGCGGCTCGGTCGCTTGGAAAAGGCAAAGGAGGCTTATTACTCGGGTCTGAAGCAGTGCCCGAATTGTATACCGCTTTGGATTTCTCTTTCCACGCTTGAAGAAGAGATGAATGGGCTGAGTAAAGCTCGTGCAGTTCTTACCATGGCCAGGAAGAAGAATCCACAAAATCCAGAGCTCTGGCTTGCTGCAGTTCGAGCTGAATTGAAGCACGGAAATAAGAAAGAAGCTGACATATTGATGGCTAAGGCGCTTCAGGAGTGTCCCAACAGCGGTATATTATGGGCGGCCTCAATTGAGATGGTACCTCGTCCCCAACGCAAAACCAAGAGCATGGATGCTGTTAAGAAATGTGACCACGATCCTCATGTCATTGCTGCTGTGGCCAAGTTGTTTTGGCATGATAGAAAGGTGGATAAAGCAAGGACTTGGCTTAACAGGGCCGTTACGCTCGGTCCGGATATTGGTGATTTCTGGGCATTGTGTTACAAGTTTGAGCTCCAACATGGGAACGAAGAGACGCAGAAGGATGTGCTTAAAAAATGTATTGCTGCAGAACCAAAGCACGGTGAGAAATGGCAGGCGGTATCAAAGGCTGTGGAGAATTCTCACCAACCAATTGAAGCAGTTTTGAAGAAAGTAGTAGTCGCCTTTGGAAAGGAAGAGAGTGCAGCTGAAAATAATAAACATTAAAGGTTATAGATCTTCTTGCTTCTTCTCTCTTGGACCTACGAGATTTGCATATTTCCTTACTTTGTTGTCAACAACTACTCTGATGATTAACGACAGCTCAGATTTAAAGGAGGTGCTGTGTTTTTCTTTAGATGTTATGACACTATTTTGTTTTATTATCTCTGCGTTCTTGTTTATATTTATGTTTTTATTCTATTATATTTCAATTTTTAGTTTCTGCAATTGCTTGTCTCCATTCATTTCACCGATTTGAGTTTAGAATTCGAGTTTTGTTACAGTAAAAAACTCTCAGAAACACACATATAACTTTTTTACTACAGTAAAAAATTCTCACATAAAGTCGAATCTCAACTCGAATTAAAAATTCAAATAAATGAACTAAACGGGCTCTAAGTCTCCCTTTGTTAGATTCTTCCTCAAATTCATTTCTGTTGCCACTTGCTTACACTGGTTATATGGAAATGTCTTTTCATTCAATTTGTTACTTTGCTTGTCTGTTATTTGCTTTATTCTGCTGCAGTTATTGTCAGTTAATTCAAAATTCCCTCTAAGGTTCCCTTATTTTTTTTAAAAATCCCTCGTAAGATTTTTTTCTTTTTTCTTATTTATCCTTTTACCTTCATCTCCTTGGAGCCGTTACTGTTTATGTTTCTAGTGAAATAAATACATAAATATCACGTTTGTCAATTGATGCTTGTATCTCTACTCTCACTTAGGCTTTCTTGCTGAGTTAGCTTTAAAAGAGAAGCGGCTCTTACCACTTGAATAAGATAAGGGTTTATTAGCATAATTGCGTCCCGAACGTATTATGGTTTAGCAAATTACCCTTAAACTTTTAATTTTAACAATTAACTCCCAAACTTATAAATTTTCGGTAATGTGCACCATTTTATTAAATTTGTTTAAATTTTTTTGCTAGATTTAAGATATTAAAAGTCTAGAAATTAAAAAATTTGTGTTATATTTGAATTAAGATGTTGAAATTTTTTGTTGAACGTGTTTTTCCGACACTAATTTAACACAATCATCATCAAAATAAGGAATATTGTAATAATTTTACAAGTTAAGAGGGCATTTTGTCAAAATTAAAGTTTGGAGGGTAATTTGTTAAATCACGACAAATTTAAGAGAAAATGTGCTAAAAACCCTTAAGAATAATCAAGGCTTAATACGTTGTTTGAAAGCGGTCCTGTATCATTTATGCTTTGAAATGTGCAGCGTTCCTGGTAGCTTTAGTTCGTTAATGGCTAATTTGGCCATTTCAATTCTTTCTTCTACCTTACTCTTTTGCGTTTTAGTATCTGCTTCATTTGGACCGACTCTCTTTTGTTGCTGGTTTTCTAGGATCAATTATGGGTCTCATGGCTCATTAGTTCAAGAGATAAGGAAATTAGGTGATAAAAGGTAATATAGTGTATACTATGCATTTAGTTCACCACTTGATTGAAGTTTCTTCTTCCAATGCTGTCATGGGAACACATGTAGTCTCTCTTTCTCTCTTCCATTTGTATTCTTTTGGAGTTAACAGTTTCAGAAACAGTATGAGAAATTTCTGGCAGAAAGTGATGGATATGAATTCAGCTGTTAGTACTTGTACTGTTTGACGACATGTTTTGCAAAATCAGTCTTGTACTGGTTATGGTTGTAATATGCCATTGCTTCTAACTGCAGTTGTCGAAACCAAATAGTGACTCAAGTTTAACTCGGATTCTGAAATTTACATGTAAATCAACGGAATTGGATTCATTAATAAACTCAGGGTCCGTTTTTTTCATGCATTTAAATTCATAATTTTAATTCTTCTACAGTATTTTCTTCTAACAAAAAATTAAAATTTTAAATATTAAAATCAAGAATCACTAATTTAAACGCACTAAAGTTCTACCCTCAAATATTGGCACAAAAGGATAGTGTACTACTACCTTGTATAACTCAACCTTCTACATTTACAAGAGATTTTAATTTATTTTATTTTCCTCCTTGTTGGATTCTGCACTTGAAATGTACGAATTCTTTAAGAAGACAGTGCGCAAGGAAACCATCTGCGTTATGCAAGACTTGTCTAAGCCAATCCAACGAGCTTCTCACTGATCTCCCATAACCTTCGTGCCTTCTCTGCATCACTGGCTTCTTTGGATAGCTGGTTTTCGAATGAGGAAGAGTTCTTGTTCCAGCTCCAATACACTCCTGATTTTTCTAGGCTTGGATCGCTTACGACCTGGAAAAGAAAGCTCCATTTTAGTTCTCAGAGAGACGAGTAAGAATTCACATACGCAAATATGTTGTTCAATGCGAAAGAGTTTAAGCTGACCTGCGCGAGTCTTTTTCCGGCTTCTTCTTCAGAAACATAGCCTTTGGTGATGTACTTCTGGAACGGAGGGAATAGAAGCCTGAACAATGGTATGTGCTCCCTGAATAATCCTGTTGTAGCAATGCAACCCGGATAGAGAGAGGCGAACGTGACTCCGGTTTCTTCATGGTAACGCCTATGAAACTCTTGCATAGCGAGCATATTGCACACTTTGCTGTCTTTGTAGGCTTTTGCACCGTCGAATTCTCCCCCGTCTATCATTACTGAGTTGTTTATCCGATTCAAGCCTCCAGCAAGACCTCTTAAGTCGCCAAGGTTGGCCTTTGGTGGCACATTTCCGGCCAAGGTGTTTGTGTTTCCTATAGCCCCAGCGTAGCAAAATCAGCAATTTCATTACAAAAAACTTGGTTATTGTTTCCTAAAAGATTATTTCATTACAGATATTCTTCTAATAAGTTCTTTGATATAAAATCTTCAAATACTGACATGGTATAGGTTTTAAAGTTCTTCACCACGATTCTGTTGTTAATGTGCTAGTGTAATATAAGAGCCAGATTAATACCTGTAATGGAGCCAACAATGATGAGACGCTTAAATGAGTAATCTGATTTTTTCAAGTCATCAAGAAGCAGCCGTGCCAGGAGGAAGTGACCGAGGTGGTTAGTCCCCACGCTGAGTTCGAATCCTTCAGCAGTGTAAGATGGCTCCTTTGCAGTGGGCAAGTATACAGCAGCATTGCAAACCAACACATCGAGTGGCCTGCCCGATTGGCGGAAGTTGTCTGCAAACTGCCGCACACTGTCAAGAGAAGCAAGATCGAGATGCATAACGGTGTAATTCTCCTTGTCTATGGCAACTGATTTAGCGGCCTTTTCCGCCTTTAGGAAATTCCTACACGCCATAATTACGTGCCATTTCCCCGTATCCGCAAGTGCTTTGGCTGTGGCTAGACCCAGTCCAGAGGATGCTCCGGTAATTATTACAGTGCCTTTCCTCAAAGTCTTCTTTTCTTCTGGTGAAGCTTGCTCAATGTCAGGACTTGCTGTTGCCGTCTGTGCTCTAATGGGTCTAACTTGTAGAGCCTTATTTCTTAAAACCTGCATGTGATAGTGTGATAAAAATCCTTAAGAGAAAAATCAGAAATCTTTGTAATACTAATTTAAACCCAGGGAAATTTATATTATCCTCACTAGTATCACATATTCCACTGAAATCAAATATAAGCCCATTTTCTGTTGGATAATTAACTCTGTAATTTCCTTGTATACTCAAATCAAAACTAAGATATTGCACAAATTAAAGACTTCAGTTCGGTTGATTGAGAAACAAAATTCATGCTTGTTAATTTCAGTTTGAAATTTTAGTCATTTTTCTTTCAGGTTTTTTGAACAGAAAATAAACCTTTATACATTCTTCATTGCTGATACCATTTAATTTAATTAAGCTTCATACAGATATTTCGAACAGTTAAAGTTACTTCAATTCTCATAAGAAGCTCTACTTCATTTATAATGAACTTCTAGGAAATGGATTTGGCCATGAATACTAATTAACGTTGTATCCAAAGCTAATAGTGTGATAAAACAACATAATAAAACATGCTACCTACTTACCAGAGAAGACTTGTATTCAGCTCTGATATAATCACTCACTGAATCTCCAAAGAAACCCACATCCTTAAAAGAAAAACTGGGTTTCCCCTGTAAAGAAGTCCCTTACATGAGTCACAAGAGAGACGAGAGAATCGATGCTGAACAAATAAAACTAGCTTAAAAATTAGCTAAAAGAGCTAAAAACAAGTTTGTTTACCCCTTTGTGGATGGTGACAGCGGTCGGAAGTAACGAGGATGCTTGGAGAGCCATGAGTCCAAATGAGGCACTAATTGGCTGAGAGTGTTGGAGAAGGATATTGTTGAATTTGGGTGCTTTGCATTTTTCAATGTGTTCATCTCTCGTGCGAGGTCGGATAGGATAGTTTTGGATTGCTGACAAATTATGCCACCTGGGTTTTTCCCAACCAATCAGATTGTGAGTTTTGGATTCTCATTGATATGTAACGTATGATATGGGTTCTGTTTATACTTTATTGTCGGGTGGCATCTTGAGCTCTCTAATAGATCAAGAATTTATGAACAAGCGCCTACCTATTCATTTCAATGAGGGTTAAAACCCCGCTACTTAAACCGTATTTATTTTATGATTTAAATTATATTAATATTTTTTTTATATAAATTTAATTTATTTTTTATATTATAATATTTTTTTCTCATATAACCTAAGTTATAATTTAGAGTGTAAATGAACACACTAATACAAATGAAGTGAGTTTTGTTAGGTGGGTAGGTAAGACTAAGGTTGTTCATGGGTTGGGTTAGTGCAGGTTAGGAATTTTTCTTCCCCCGTTCCAAAAGGTGCTGATTGGACATATTTAGCCCCAATGATGTTAAAAAAATTTCACAACCTGATGATATTTGGGTTGGATTAGGGCGGTGCGGAGTGGGTTAGGTGGTCGGTTTTAACATTCAAAGAATTAAAGACTCAAAGTTCAATCTAACATTCAAAGTTCATCATCAAATTGAAATAATAACTCCAACATTCAAACAGATAGAAATTCAAAGTTCAATCCAACATCAAACATGAAATAAAGTAGTTCATACAACATCAAACATAAAGCAAAGTAGTCCATCCAACATCAAACAAAAATTAGTCTACACTCATAAATTTATCTTTAACATAAAGCAAACATAGAGACTTAATTCAAACATGAAGAAACTAGAGAGTAAAAATGAGTTGTCTGTCTAGGATTAAATATTAAAAGAGGCAAGTTAGAGTGCGGGTTGAGTTGGAGTGTGCGGGTTGGGTTGGAGTGTGCGGGCCATTATAGGCCCAACCCACACCCCACCCCAAAACTTCGGGCCAGACATTGAATGAGTAGAAAAAAAAAATTTAATACTAGAAATTACATTTTTCGGGTTGGGTTGGGGTGAGGTGGGTTGGGCCTGCGAGTTTTGTGGGATGATGAACAGCCCTAGGTAAGACCCACCACTTTATGAGACCATCTTCAATGCAAAAGTTAATGTCAATTGTATATTATGAGAAATAGGAAAATATGTCAATACTTGAGATGAATTAAAATTAATAGGCAAATAGTTTACATAAGTTAATAAATAGGCCAAATTACTGTTTTCGTCCATAACTTGTCTGGTTATGAATCATAACTTGATAAGTTATTGTCCATAAATCACGGTTTTTGTCTATAACTTGTCTGACTATGAACCATAACTTGACAAGTTTGTCCATAACTTATCTGGTTATGAACCATAACTTGACAAGTTATGGCCTATTAATTTTTATAACTAAAAATTGGCCTATATACTTCCTTAAGCTTTTCATATTGGCATATTTTCTACTATTTTTGTTGTATATTTAACATCAAAAAGTATGATATGGTATGTTATTTTTATTTTTACTTCAATGCATAATGTTATTTAAAATGTCAAATCTAGTTTTTCTCATAATTATTAAGTTTTAAAAGTTGTAAAAGTAAATTTTTATTTTTAAAATAATTAAGAAATACAAAAGTTGAAATGATTACATGAAAAGATAAAACATTTCAACTAATAATAATCAAATGCCAAATTTTCTATATATTAGACTTAGTGAGATATTTACCACAAAGTATAACATATGAAAAATTTGACACAATAAATAGCATTGCATTGGAGAGTGTTTTCACTCAAATACTAAATTTATAATTGACACATCAATTATAACATTGTATTGAAGATACTCTGAGTGTGAAGCTATAGAAATGAATACCATTTTTATATGAAGAATAATATAATCTTTGCATTGAACACAAGTTAACCAATACCATAAGATATAATTGAAAGGTAAAAACCTTACAAAAACTAAAGGTATGTTTGTTTCACAATTCAAATTCTTAATTTGAATTGTATATGTGAGAGAAAAATATTGTAGTAAAAAAGTTGAATTTAATTTTTTTTTTTAAAAGCATTGTATATAATAAAACTTAAGTTGAGTCATGAAAAAAACAATGCTAAATATTTATAAAAATGGGAGTCTATAAAGTTTGACTTTCCCTATCTCCAACAGTTTCTTGTTATTCTAAATGACAATGAGTTTTATGGACTTGTGATTCTAATTATTAGAGGCAACTAATGGCGGATGACATTTTGGGTGAAATATTATAGTTTTTTTTTTATTTGTGAACAATTAGTATCTAATATTTTGTAATAAAATTTTTTGAAGGTAATATATTATTTTGTGATATAATAATAATTATTAATTAATGAAATATTACATAATGATTAAAAAATTATTTTATAATCTTTATTTTTTAAGGACTTTCTTTGGTGTTATTTTTAAAAAAACACCGGTATTCACTGTTTATTAGCTATCAAATGTGTATTAAATCTTATCAAATTAAATTAAAAAATAATATAAATTTGATAGTTGATAAGTAAAGAACCTCGATATTTCTAAAAAGAGAAATTCTTTTTTTTTTCAACTGTAACTCTGCAAAAATTGTAACCGTTAAAACCTGTAGTGTCACCTTATTATTCAACTCCGCAAAATTGAATAATTACAAAAATAGACCCTTTAGTGACAACTTTGTTCTCGCTAAAAAGTGTATCCTTTATCGGCGATGATTGTGGTGATGATCATCGTGATCTAAAATCTCAATTTGTTTTATTTTTTTTACATTTTTATTTTTATTTTCATTTTTACTTTTGTTTTCATTTTTATTTATGTTTTTGTTTTATTATTATTATTATTTTTTTTTTTTCATGTTATACGCCTGCAGGTGGTGAACAGTCACAAGTTTGGGGCCTATGTGTAGCTGCGATTGTCATGTGTTAAGGTTTTTTTTTTTTTTTAACTGGGATGTGCTTGAATTTTGAGATTGCAAAATCTCAAGGGCTGAGCTAGAGAAGGATATTCATATTAATCAATAATAAAAGTTAAAAATTCAGATTCAGAATATTTGTCTTTTTTACTTTTTTTTTAGGGTGCTCTTCTATTTTTTATGAGCTCAATTATAATAAGGAATGAACTATAATATATTTGATGTTACCTTGAAAAAAAAAAAAATGAATTTGAGCATCTTCAAGATCTTCAAGCGGCTGATTTGATGGCCTTCTTCGACCTTGCTTCATTTTCTTTTTAATTTTCTGTTTAGTTGTTTCTTTTTCCCCAGCCTTGCCCTTATTGGCGCGTGTGAGAGACTCGTTGACCACTGCATTCAAGTTTTCCAGCAATGTTATCAATTGAAGTGATTGTATCAAAATTTTCAAACTTAGGTGTAGATGATCAACTTTTATCCAATTTTTCCAATATCAATTATTCAATTTACCTAATCAGTCTTAGCTACCTAGTACCATTTCTGTGAGGCCAAAATTCAGTTATAGAAGAGGCAATAAGACTATAAATTGAGCAGACTTTTTTCGGTACGTCAACATATTGGTTAGTCAGATTTTTTGTTTGTTAAATTTATATAAAAACATGTAAAAATAAAAAAATACGTAAATTTAACGCTTAAAAAAATTTAACTTATTAATATGCCGACGCATCAAAAAATCTCGCTAAATTGATATGAAAACATGAAAAATTAGTGGTTGAAACTGTAACAATATATTAGACAAGACCATCGATTCAACATTTATCAGTCCTACGATTGGTCTTTTTCATACTTAAATCTTGATTTGTTATTTTTTTCTTGATAAAATTAACTTTTGAACCCCCATACGTGACGAGACAAGTATTAATCAAGATTGCTCCAGAGAGGGGAAAAAAAAAGTGATCAAAGTTTGTTCATTTTGATCAAGATTGTTTCAGAGAAAAAAAAATGTTCAAGTTTGCTCAATTTTCATTTTTTTTTTCTTAACTTATTTATCCCGGTTCCATTATTTTTTTTTAGTAGGATTTCAAATTTGTAGGTCCTTGGAGTTCCAATATAAAAAAGAATCTACCTATTAGGAGGATTAGTAGCTCTATAGCCCAAAGTCCTTTTAAACTTATTTTCTATTTTACGTCCGGTCAATGTAGAACTTAATACACATATTCCCAACAATCCTCGAACCATAAAAACCCCTCATCCAATTGTTTCCACTCACAATTTAACTTCTTAAGCGTGTACCTAGTTACATTTTTTTTTTTAATCTGACTCTGATACCACTTATTAAGGGCCCATTTAATTTGTTGATTCAAGTTTTTAATTCAAGTTGAGATGTAATTTTATATGAGAGCATTTTACTGTAGTGAAAAAGTTAAATGTGACTGTTTCTGAGAACTTTTTACTGTAATAAAACTCAAATTGATGAAATAAACGGGACCTAAATCACTAAAATTTCGTCCTAAAAAGTTAACTTGTTGGGGGTAGTAACCCATGCCTTATTAATTTATTTTTCTTTACAAGTCTCACCAATATGACTTTGTTGGCACATTCCTAACACAGGGAATGCTACACCAGTAGCATTTATGTTTGAACAGTATCATCTTTTCAAGTGCTTTTTTATACTCTATATTTTAAATTTATTCAGAAAGTATACAATCGGTTTTAAATCTTATAAAAAATATACCTTTGAATTATAGTTAATTCATAATCTATACTCTTTTTCGATCAAAACTGACAAATAAAATTACCAAGTTATCCTTATAAAGGAATTGTATAATTATTTAGAAATAGGAATAGGCATCATATACAAGCTTCCTCTAAGAATAATTTAGTCATTTTACAAGTCAAAATAACGACAAAGGTATAGATTTGAATATTAACTGTAATTCGAAGGTATATTTTTTATGAGATTAAAAATCAATAGTATACTTTCTAAATAAACATAAAAAATAAGGTTAAAAATGTAAATAACCTTAAATAAATTTTGAAATAATTATGGCATGATTCAACATAGAAAAACACCATAATGATAATGATACTCTATCACAAAAGACCATCCATATTCCATAAAAATAGAAACAGTTTCTTGACTGATTAAAGGTTGAATTATGTTCAATGCCTATTCCGCACTTCCTCCTCCCACCAAAAAAAAAAAAAAAAAATTGAAACGGCTAAATTCTGAAGCGATAAATTTTATCTTACTATTTTTTAATCATATTCATTCAATATTATAAAAACTCTTGTTCTTACCAAATCCAAATTTGTTCCCAAGCAATTTCTTCAAATTTTTATTTTTTTTTATGAACAAAAAACAAAAGATATGTCCCGACCAAGTAGAACTGGTAATGTAGTAATTTATATTATATCCGTATATTGTGCTTAAATACAATATCAATTTCTTGGTTTGGTTTAAAATGATAGGATTAGTTAAATAATCCAAGAGTTACCCCCACCACTAGTTTAGATATTTTGTCAATGAATAATGCTATTATGGGTATCATTAGTGTTAGATTAGTAAGACCATTTCTAATCATATCATGTCTTCTAATTATCATTAAAAGCTCATTGTTATCGTGCCGTCACAAATAAGATAAGTTGGTCTGTGATCTCATGGGCCGGTGAGTAGGTCCCACCTATGCCCATCATGTTAGTCAATTGCCTAATCGTAAAAGTAAGTCAAAACAATTTGATGTGGAAAGCTGTTCCTTTAAGTAAATGCTGCTTTGTTTTTCCTCCTTTGTCGAGAATTTTTTTAAGGTTCCGTAATTTTATTGATTTGAATTTAAAATTTGAGTTTTATTATAGTAAATTTTTTTTAAAAATAGTCACATTTTATTTTTTTACTATAATAAAAATTTTTATATAAAATTACATCTCAATTTAAATTAAAAACTCAAATTAACGAACTAAATGGGTTTTAAATCTTACTGAAATGCAAACTTGATAAATTAAAACAGTTCTGGTAGGTATATTCGGAGTGAGAAACAATATAAATATACAAAGAAGATTGAAAAGAAGGAATCTCATTCCTAAACGTGATGATTCCACAAATATTCAATTTAAATTACAAGTTAAACTCTTTTATTGTAGTATTTTTTTCACATAAATTTAAATTTAATTTTTTTATTACAGTATTTTTTTTTTTACATAAAAAACTTGACTCGTGATTTGTATTGTAAAAAAAACACATTATAATTTGAGGAGAAAAGAAAAAAAAAATCTTAATGAGCCAAACTATTGATAAGATCTCACCGGACTACTGCACAAAAACGTGTAGGACTTTAATTTTCTTATTTGTTTTCTTATTTTTGTTTTTGAGAAGACTTGTCGATAAGGCCTACGCACCCACCCTTTTCCTTTGATATTATCATCTCAAATGTCCTCCCCCCAAATGATCCAAAATTAAGAGCTTCATTATTTAGGAAGTGCTCAAATAAATTAATGTTAAGGACACCAACTCAAATATATATTTATATAATAAGTGATTGTGATATGTGAGTTATTATTATTTTTTATTAATAAATGTAATATTTTTTATTAATTAACGTGATAATGTTTTAAATACCTACTAAATTAAAAAATAACAACTCATATATATCATATCAATTAGTACATAAGAGTTGAGATTAAAGTTACCGTCTCTAAAAAAAATTAGTAGCACTAGTACAAGACCGAGTCTTTCTAAAGTATGAGAATTTTTTAGTAGGATATGAAAGATAATTATATCAATATTGTACAGCAATTCATATTTGTATTTACATTTATTCAGTTTGATTTATTTTTTTACCTCAATATGATTTGAGGTTTAAAAATATATACTAAAAATAGATATACAACACTCAAATTATCATACCCTAATAAAATTTTTGGAAAATTTCTATACTTCTTGGGTTAATTTTATTTTTAACCCCTGAACTATGCATTTTATCGCATGTCAGCCCCAAACTTCCATCACAAAAATTGTTAAAAGTTAGGATGAAATCAACCATATGACTCTCAAATTCTCGGTTGATGAAGTGTCGATCAAACAATCGCACTTAAATAAATTTGAAAATTACAAAAAAAGAAAAAAAAAATCTCTCTCTACACTAGCTCATTGGCTAACTAGACATGTGCTGGCTAAACTTATTTAAATTTATTTTCTAGTTGTGAATTGTCTAGATTATCCATCATTAACCAAGTATGTGATTCAATCTTTTAAACAAAATGCAACAAAGGATGTCAGGATCGCATAATTAATTTTGTTCAGTTTTAACAAATTTGTGATGGAAGAGTAAATGTGAAAATTTTGGTGTGATTTGTTTCATTTTAAAATTTGGTTGCCATAATGAGGACAAAATTAAAATTAACCTTAATTTTTTCATGTGTCAAAAGGAAGAAGGGATTGATTTCAATTTTGACAATCAAAACAACTATTTATTTGTCTCATTTTGACTCCTAAATTTGAACACATTACAACTTGTTTATTGGTCTATCAAAAAAGTGTCATGTTTCGCACTCCTATCATGAAATCATTAAGAACTTGAAGGCATCAACCAAGTGAGCCTTACATTAATGGGTAATATGAAATGTATTTTAGACAAATCACGCCATTAAGATACATCTACTAGTCAACGAGCTCGATATAGATCACAATTTTGTATTTTGTTTCTTTATAAATTTATTTAATGAACAGTTCACTTCATTAACCATACATGTGACGGGTATATATTCAATTGAGTTTTTAACCATTTTATAATCGATCGAAAGACCAAACATGGGAGTTTCGTAATATTTAAAATTCATGCACAAAAATGAGAAAAGGTGCATCATTCGGAACGCCAAAATAAGAACGAGTTTATTGACAAGTACTCTTTATCTACTTAGAGCCTGTTTAATTCGCTAATTCGAGTTTTTAATTCGAGTTTAGATGTGACTTTATGTGAGAGCTTTTATTGTAGCAAAAAAGTTAGATGTGATTATTTCTGAGAGTTTTTTACTCTAGTTAAACTCGAATTAGTGAAATGAACGTGACCTTAAACTCTATTTTAAGCATGCAGGAGTTTATGGGGGAAAAAAATGATTGAATCCAACCTATTTGAGCCTTAACAGTAAGAACACTAATTTTATCCATTTACTTTAGATTTCCAGTCTATATAAAATTTCTTAACCAAAATTTTGTAGTAGCAAACTATAAATTATTTGTAATGTGATATCATGCTTTATGTCTGTAAATACTTTTCATAAAGGGATTTTTTTCGTACGAACACATGCGGCCTTCTTATTTTTATTTTTATTTTTTTGCCTTTTGATCCCAAAGATTGTTCCAAGTAAAAACAGCCAAAAAGAAAAATCTCAAGTGGAAATTGAAATTCTCATGGTCCACAAAGCAAAATTAAGCAATTGGTGTGTACACAAACAACCACATGTTTACATATCTGATATCCCTTTATACTTTGAAGTTGAAGGCCAAACCGAAATGGCATCATTATCACGTCTCTTTTACGTGGGAAAATTACCATACACAAGAAGCATAAAACGACCAAGTTTTAAAAAACCACTTTTAAGCAGTCCACAGTGCAATCACAAAAATAAACATCGCATGCATAAAGCAGTGATCAGAAAGTCTGACAATCATAGCCAGTAAAACATTATATAAGTATATATATATATATATGTATATATATTACAAATTTAACTACAATCAACAACATGAAAGAAAACGACACACAATAATAACACGGCCATGATCATTGACTATTTTTCCCTTCCATCCAATGGAGCATAAAAACAAGGCTCTTTGTGAGTGATGGATCGGACAGACCCCATTTGAGAAGGAGATCACAAAACCGTCTCTCTTACTCGTTCGTGGGATCCACACGTACTAAAATTAAAACTTAAACTAAATGACTAATTAATACTACTACATATGAAAAACAAATCAAAGACGTATTCTAAATGCCTAGCTAATGAGTTCTTATGATAATGATTTTACCACTAAGATAAAATGGCGCAAACCAAATGAACCAAAAAGAACCACTACTTCCCAAAAGGTCTTGAAAGAATATGTAGCCTTTGGAGAGCAGAAGGGTGTTTTTTGGAGGTTCCCATGTAAAAATGAGCACTCCACTGCAATTTGGAGTCATGAAAAAAATGTTGGTTTACCTTACCAGTTGGGAAAAACGACAAACGTTTGGAACGACGACTCAATCTTGATCTTTCCAGAAGAAACGCTTCATGGGACAGGAAGAGGAAGGGGAAGAAGCTGATGAACTATCCAATCTCTGAAGCTGTCTATGAATCTCTTGAGGATCATTTGGTGGCTGCTGATTATTATTATTAGGATTGGCAACGAATGGAAGATCATTTGATTGCAAGAGAAGATTATTGTTGGCGTCCAAATCGTCCCACACAGGGCTACCCGGACCCCAACCAGCCGGAATTGCATTCAGCCAAGCCTCCGCCATTTCTTCACCCCACACCAATTCCTGCGCCTGCTGCGCGGTGGCAGCTGCAGCCTCACCGCCTGCCGGGGCCACCTGAGCCTCATCATCAGCTCCTGAATTGTCGCCCTGAGGAGGTTGCAATGACTGCGGGGGCTGTGGCATTCTCTCCGAATCCGACGCCTGCGAACTCTGGCGAGTACTAATTTGCCTTGAGCTTGCTTGAGGAGTTGGTGGAGAAGAAACGGTCGAGCTCGGGCCAGCTGACTCTGACTTATTATTGTTGTTGTTGTTGTTGTTGTCCTTGTTGAGAAACAGCTCAGGAAAATTGAGCCTGGCATTCTCTCCGCGGAGCTTGTAGGCCTCGCGGTCGTAGGCCATGGCGGCGTCCTCGGCGGTGTCAAAGGTCCCAAGCCAAAGACGAGTCCTGTTCCGTGGGAGCCTAATTTCCGCCACCCATTTTCCCCAATGCCGCTGCCTCACTCCCCTGTAGAGCTTCGTCGTGTTGATGGGCTGCACGGCCGCCGCGGCAGGAGGCCGAAACAGCGGCCTTCCATCAGGCCCGAACCCGCCCATCATCATCATCATCCTCCCTCTCGGGCTCAAATTCAGCGCATCGCTCCAATACTGAAGCAATTGCTGCTGCCGCTGCGGCTGAAAGAGGAAAGGATAATTCATGCTCTGTTGCTGATCGGAAGCAAAAGATATCATCTGATTTTGTTGTTGTTGTTGTGGATGTGGAACAGATTGTTGAGGTCGGAATATTGGAAATTGTTGAGAAGTGTCATATGCAAAAGGGAAATTTGGAGGGCAAAGACTAGTTGTGGTGATCGGAACTGAAGAAAACGAAGAAGAAGAAGAAGAAGAAGTTGAGGTTCTTTCTGGGCTTTTGATCTTCTTGAGAGGTCTTTCAGACACGGAAGCCTCATCTAAAACTGGCTTCCATTGGTGTGGACTGTACTCGAAATTGCTGAATCCAAGGTGATGATGATCATCATCATCATCCTTGGCGTTATCAATTTCCCAAACTTCTCGTCTTGTCGTCTCGATCTTCTTGAATTTACCGCTGTTCTTAGCTGCAGCCATGGTTCTCAAACTTGATTTTAGATGTGTTCTCGCTCGCTCTCTTGGGTATGAAGAGATAGAGATTTTGGAGAGAATTTAAGACGGGTCACCAAATCAGACAGAGAAATAAAAGAAAGAAAGAAAGAAAGAAAACAAAAGATTCGATAAAATCTAGTGTGATAAAGAAAAAAATCCAATACCCAGATCCGAATTTTGGTCAAGGAATCAAAAAAAACCCAAGGACCGATATTCTTCTTTAGGATCAGTACATAATCCGATTGAAACTAAAACAGAATCGGATACGTAAAGTGTTGATTCTTGAGTAACCCATCTCAAATCTCTGAATTCTCACAGCAAACAAACTAAAGAAGAGAGAGAGAGCGAGCGAGCAGCGAAGGCCAAGAGCAGCTATCCAAGAAGACGTATTCTTTCTTTCTGTTTTTTTTTTTTCTTTTTTTTTTTGGGAGTGAAATTGATAACTTTGAAGTGAGAGAAACAGAGCAAGGGAAGCAGAGAAAACAGAAGTCTTTTTTTATGTTGGAAGCCAAGAAAGAGAGGGCGAGGCAAATGCTTTTATAAGAGAGAAGATAAAGATTTGGCTTCATTTTTTTTTTTTTTTTTTTTTTTGAAGAAAGAGAGAAAATATGTAGAAGTCTCGTCGTTGGTTGGTGGACTTTGTTTGGGCCCCACACGGCTTGCTCTTCTACCTTTCTTTACAATTTCCATTGCTTCCACATTAATATCTGTTTTCTGGTTCTTTTTCCCATATTTTTCCTTCTCACTTATTTAGTTAGTTGATTCGAGTGAAAATATGATATAAATTTTTTTTATTATAATAAAAAAATTAAATATAATTATTTTTAAAAATTTTTAAATTTAAATCGGTGAAATGAACGAACTTAAAATTTTTTTTTAAGATAATTGATCAGTTAAGCCTGTTCCAAAATATCAGAGGCGGTTGGAAGAAAATATCAAAATAACAGTTATGTAACTGTGCTTATGTCCGTACCGTCACGTGGCAGAAGGAGAGTGGATATTCGTAGGTCCTAGGTTCCACCTGCCAATTCTTATTCTTCTTGGCTGTCAAAAGGAAGAAAGCAAATTAAGCAGAGTTTTGTGGTATAGTGGCCGAACCAACAAAAAAAAAAAAAAAAAAAAAAAACCAAATAATGCAAACTTGTGGTGATTATTCTTTTTTCTCAAGTTTTATGAAAAATAGCGTGGACTATTTGCATCCTAGTGGAGGACCCTGTCCATCCTACTGTTTTGTTAAACAGCCCCATAACATGTATTAGCGTATGAATTTAAAATTTCACTACTCATATAAAATGAGTCTTTATAAGTGGATAAATAAGAGTTCAATATAGTAGAATTTAAGATTTTCTGAATGACGAGATTTTTATCTTAATCAAGATAAATATCATTTTTCATATAAGTCCCAATAGGGACCCTACACGCTCTTAAGGTGTGTTTTACTAACATGATCGGGCTTCACGCACATGTGTAGTAATTAGTAATATGATCGAATCTAAATTGTTATGATCGGTGAAATTACAGTTTAAATATATTGTTTTAACTTTTGTGTTAGGAATGATATTCACTATATTATGACACATTATTTAATGAACTCAAAGAAAAAATATATAAAAAAATTATTAAGAAATGAGAAGCATTTCAAAGTTTTTAAAAAATGTGAAAGAACGTTTTTTTGGCTGTAGATACCATTTAAAACATCAAAATTGAATGTCGTGTAATTCAAGTATTTTCTCGCAATTTCCGCTAGTTGTTATTCTTTTCTGGAATCTTATTGTCAAAGCTTCTCAAGATATCAGTTTCTTTTTCTTTTTCTTTTTTTTTTTCCTTTTTGTTCTTAATCTACATACATATCTAATAGAAATTTAGCATTACTTTTATTAGGTCAAACACGTCTCATATGAATAAGAAAGATTATATTACAAATAGAAAAATGATAGAAAGAGAATGAAGTTGCTTATAATGGTGAGAAGCTGATTATCAGCCAAAAACACAGATAGATTAGCTAATTGGATTGGTTTAGGTCTTAGTGGGAGGCTACCTAGGTTTGCAAGTCTATTAGTATTAATTCAACTGCTAGCATAAAATATAGTAGTTTTAGTAGACGTTTGGTTCATAGATTTAAAATTATGATTCATAATTATTCTCAATTTATGTGTGTTTTTTATGAGAGAAAACACTGTAACAAATCACGAACCATGCTCATACCAAATGTTAGCACTGTTCGTGATATATAATATTTTATGTACAAAACATACTTTTTCTAACATGTTATCCGGGTTTATCACTCTCATATTATTAATGAGAAATGAAATAATAAAAATTTATAACTTTATGAACTCACGCAGCTAACCGTTGGTTAATCTCAAGTGGCTTTATTTACAAAACATGCTGATCATTAATGACAATGGCACATTAGAAAGTAAGTTAATTTTGGATGATTAAAGAATTCGAGGCACCAAAAACAAAAGGAAAACAACAACAACAAAAAAAAAAAAAAACCGGCAACGCTGTAACGCTTGATAATGGGACTTCTTTATTTAATAATTTGCAAGAGTAGACTTTAGTTTTAAAATTCAAAGCTGGTTTTAAGAAATGTGTTACCTTTTTAAAAAATAAATAAATGAAAGGTAGTTTTAAGAAATGTCTACTAATATCCTTACTCTTAAAGGCAATCCGACTAATTAAAAGAATTCTAGCTCGAATGCCTCTTAATATAATCAGCATGAAATGATATATATATATATATATATATATATATATATATATATATATATATAAAAGCGCTATAATATATCATTTTCCAGCCAAACTTTTTTTTCGAAAAAGGACAAGATTGTTATTTCCTGACTTTAATAATCTATTCGAATTTTTAATTTTAAGTTTTTACAGTAAAAAACTCTCAGAAAATGTCACATTTAATTTTTTTTGCTACTGTAAAAAGCTCTAAAAAAATATCACATCTCAACTCGAATTAAAAACTCAAATCCGCGAAGTGAATGATGCCCTAAAATAAATCCTAACAAAATTTTCGTTGGGATAACTGACAAGAACAAATGCCACCAATAAATAGTTGGGAGTAAAGGCGAACCTATGAATTATCATTGGGTTTTCCCAATAAAATAGATATGAATTTTTCATTTTCTTATTTACGTCTTTTATCATAACTTACTACATATTAGCACTGAAGGGGAAAACTTAACATATATCTCATGTTTATTTTATAAATTTGAGTTTTGTTATAGTAAAAAAAATTTTAAAAACAGTCATATCTAATTTTTTTATTACAGTAAAAAATTATCATATAAAATTATATCTCAATTCAAATTAAAAATTTAAATTAACGAATTAAACGGACTCATAATATGCTTTAGAAACTTTGACGTTGTTACTACTAACAATTTGTACGTGGATTTCATCGGGAAACAAAATTGATTATGACTAAAAACTAACGTATGTTTTTTTGTATAATTTAATTTAAAATTTATCAATTAATGCAACTACTATAAGCTTACAAAAATATATATATATATATTTGGTAAAAATAGAAAAAAGCTTAATCAATAATACCAAATTAGAAGGTAGAAATCGTGGTAAAAAAGATAGACGCGTCCGATTGGTGGTGACTATAAGAGAAGCTTCCACGTTAGGGTCCTACTTTCGGTGGCAAATTCAAATTTAAAAATATGCGATCCGACTGTCCTCTCTAAAGTCAACAAACACAAAACGGTGCATGAAAGGGTCGGTGATAATCGGCACGTGTCGGTGGTCCACTCCGCAACCCCATTAATCATTTTGTTCGTTTTCTCTATACAAGTTCAAAGTTCAAACTTCCAAGGTCCAACTCAAAAGGAAAGACACAAATATCAAGGCCGAAATTGGACCCTAAGTGCGCATATATAAATCAGAAACTTGGTTGAAGTTAGAAACATGAATGAGAAATATGGCACGTTTAATTTATTGATTTATATGAAAATATGATTTTATATGAGAGTTTTTTATTATACTAAAAATATTAAATGTGACTTTAATCATCTATTCAAGTTTTTAATTTTAAGTTTTTACAGTAAAAAACTCTCAGAAAATGTCACATTTAATTTTTTCTGCTACTGTAAAAAGCTCTAAAAAAATATCACATCTCAGCTCGAATTAAAAACTCAAATTCACGAAGTGAACGATGCCCTAAAATAAATCCTAACAAAATTTTCGTTGGGATAACTGACAAGAACAAATGCCACCAATAAATAGTTGGGAGTAAAGGCGAACCTATGAATTATCATTGGGTTTTCCCAATAAAATAGATATGAATTTTTCATTTTCTTATTTACGTCTTTTATCATAACTTACTACATATTAGCACTGAAGGGGAAAACTTAACATATATCTCATGTTTATTTTATAAATTTGAGTTTTGTTATAGTAAAAAATTTTTTAAAAACAGTCATATCTAATTTTTTTATTACAGTAAAAAATTATCATATAAAATTATATCTCAATTTAAATTAAAAATTTAAATTAGCGAATTAAACGGACTCATAATATGCTTTAGAAACTTTGACGTTGTTACTACTAACAATTTGTACGTGGATTTCATCGGGAAACAAAATTGATTATGACTAAAAACTAACGTATGTTTTTTTGTATAATTTAATTTAAAATTTATCAATTAATGCAACTACTATAAGCTTACAAATATATATATATATATTTGGTAAAAATAGAAAAAAGCTTAATCAATAATACCAAATTAGAAGGTAGAAATCGTGGTAAAAAAGATAGACGCGTCTGATTGGTGGTGACTATAAGAGAAGCTTCCACGTTAGGGTCCTACTTTCGGTGGCAAATTCAAATTTAAAAATATGCGATCCGACTGTCCTCTCTAAAGTCAACAAACACAAAACGGTGCATGAAAGGGTCGGTGATAATCGGCACGTGTCGGTGGTCCACTCCGCAACCCAATTAATCATTTTGTTCGTTTTCTCTATACAAGTTCAAAGTTCAAACTTCCAAGGTCCAACTCAAAGGAAAGACACAAATATCAAGGCCGAAATTGGACCCTAAGTGCGCATATATAAATCAGAAACTTGGTTGAAGTTAGAAACATGAATGAGAAATATGGCACGTTTAATTTATTGATTTATATGAAAATATGATTTTATATGAGAGTTTTTTATTATACTAAAAATATTAAATGTGATTATTTTTTAGAGTTTTTTACTGTAATAAAATTTAATTTTTAAACTTAAATCAGTGTAATGAACGAAATCTAATTATCATTTTTTTATCACTTTATTTGTTATTTTTTACCATAACAATTTGATACGTAAATTTTATTAATATAATATATTATTATTTAAATAAAAAAGAAAATAATAGAATTTACATATCAAATATCAAATAATAAATATATAGAGTCATGTTCTCATTTCTTGCTATTGATTAAAGTAAAAATGAAATGATCTTACAAATTACAATACGATAAAGTTCATGTGATATTTCTCCTTGAGAAAGTGGTTGTTG